ATGCAGGCTTACTGTTATATAAAAAAACTAACACTCAGAAACACAGGCTGTTCTACAGTACAACTCCAAGCATTATTTAGCATGCGATTTTTGTGCCAAACGACAATAACATCTATAATCGCAATAGTGTCCAAAGGTGCACCAACGCAAGCAAATAAATAAAGTGTACATAATACCATAAACAAGACAACTCAGAGATATATTAAGTAGTCAACAATACCAGTAACCGCATTCCCAAATGCAATACAAATACAACATTTATTGCTAGGCAACAACAAGGTTCACAATCAAGAACAGCGGCACGCATTTTGAAAATTGCACACACCAAATAACCATCCAGCTCGTATGATGTTTCTGTGACTGCAATGCGACATGCCAAGAAACAAAAAAATCGCAAAGTTAGCTCTCATCATTCAAGCTTAGATAAAAATTTTTATAGAAGTGTTAAAATTTTGGGCTTTCTTTATTTCAGGCGGCAGGCTGTTCCATATTTTTGCACCTATAAACGGCAACTGACGCTCTCCATACGCGTTGTTTGTGGGGGGCAGATTGAAGTTACCAGAGGCAGCATTTCTAGTGGGCCGAGAAATGTGTAGAACATGGATGCATCGAAAGGGTTGTTGTGCCTTATTCGTTTCTATATTGGTCAATTGAGCTTCCGGAATGTCAGTTAGTTAGATATTAAGACAATAAACTTGTAGTGCTCTCGGAATACGTATTACTAAATTCAATCCTAATTGTTGTTACAGTATCTTGCTGGTGCAATTATTTTCTACTCTGGTCAATTAGTAGAACGTGTAGTATTACTTTAAAAAGCAGGTGGTGTTTGGTACCTTTTCTGTGAGATTCTTTTGTTTTCGGTCCACGTAAGTAAAGCAATGGCTACAACAAAGAGTCACCAACTAGCCTGACTAGCAGATCCGCTACAGTGCTTTTTTCTGGAAGTACAGCGGGAATGGTCATTAGCGTTCAGTAGCATATAAGGTAGCAAGAAAACGACTTTGCACCACCAGTTCAGATTCAACATTGAAAGTAATAGGAGGGCAGGAGAGAGAGAATAGAACGCTCTTTTCACGTTGTTTTTATGGCACTCTGTACTGAAATTAAAAGCGTCCTCTATCAACAAACCCAACCGTGCACCGTTCTAGATATGTGGCACCTATCTTCAGCATGGTGTCTTGCCACCGAAAAATAAATGAAGGTAAAAGTTCAAATTCACTGCTTCTTTTGTAACCATATAAACCTAAATTGAAATTAAAACGAACCACGCGTGCCACGAGAACTTTTTCGAACAGCCTAAATGAAGAAAATCCTGCCGTTCTTTCGACATATTGCACCACTTCTAGTATCTACACTATAAGCTTTTGCGGCACAGCTTGGTGGTCATTTAATAATACAATATTGCAAGAAAAACCAGATCATGAACCGATTTTCGCAGTAATCACACCATGGGCTGTGACATCAGATATCCTCCCACACTAAAGTTTCCTCAATTTCTTGCGCTAACAGACGGGGTGCACAAAATTTGCCTTGTAAATTATAAACGCAAAGACTTTGTTGTCATACTTCACCCACTGAAGCGAACTTCAGACGTTTGTGCAGGGAGCTCAAGAAGAAACATAACTGTCACGCTCACTATTTCATTTATATTGTTTCTGAACATCGTGCTATTTTCAGTATAATCTATAAAATTTATCTCCAATAGCTTCCTTTTGTAGGTTTGAGCAGTGTATGTCAACTGGGGTGTGCACTTTGCTCTTTCGTTAAAATATAATGGTCAATACCTTGTTAACGATGTTGCGCCGGTAAAGGTGCCAATTGGGATACGCAGGTAGGATGGGCATGAGAAGAACGAATACATTTAAATCCATTTGCAGGATTCATTTCAGTTGGGTAGTGAAGGCGTGAGCAAGTTTCTCGGCGCCACCTCATTGAATACGAATGGTTCAAGGTGAGGGGACAACATCTGCCATGGAATTGGAAGCTGTGTTTTTTTTTTCAGGGAGATATTTTGTGAAGTGAATATGCTGCGCCTTAGACCTTGTTTACTTCACCTACATTATTTCTGCCCATTGTAACGATGTTGCAGAAGTATCATACAGTTCAGACTATACATGGTGTAATGTGATGCAATCTCAGAAGTTAATAGCGTGGGCACATACACCAGGTTGTGTATGCCCATGTCCCGTCACATGACAACTGCCATTCGTGCCGGTGCCACAAAAAAGAATTGGTCTTGAAGAAAGCATTGCTAAGCTCGGACGTGCATGCCAGCACAACTTCGGGCCTTCCAGCAAGTTTAAGGAGACCCTTGGAGACAATTATGGTCTTGGAACCACGTCCGTGGAGGGTGCACAGGCCTACTAAAGGACGCCGGCCTCTTGTTCAGCTAGTTAGTTTTTTTTTTTGGTAAAGATTATGTGAAATGAGTTAAAACCATCGTGGAATATTCCAAGTAAAATTATTTATTTATTTATTTGTGAAACCCTCAAGGTACATTTGTACATTATAGTGGGGAGGGGCGGAAATACAGTTGAACAACAAAATAACTACAGCATTATGTAAACACATTAAAGATGAATATAAATATAGTGATGAAGTTTTGCATGCAAGAGGTACACTTTATTAAAAGACAACTGAACTAGAGCCACAAATTATACACTAAACAGTCAATAACACTTACGCCGATTGGTACAGTTCACGATTCTGAGTTTATTAGTGCAATCTTAAATCGCGTGGGGTTGGTGATGCTTACTAATGATGCAGGTAGGTTATTCCAATCTATTGACGTCTTAGGAAGGAATGATTGTGAACATGCTAAGGTGTTGTGATGAGGTACGCTGACCTTGTACGCGTGATCATGGCGAGCAGAATGGTACGGTGCCGGGTGAATCCAAAGTGAGCGAAGAAAAGGATTGTGGTGATAGATTTTATGAAATAATGAGATTCGCAAGTTCTTTCTGCGAATAGAGAGTAATAGAATATGGAGTGTACTCTTCATTAATAAAACACTAACAGAGCGATGATAATTACTTAAGAAGAAACGAACAGCGCGATTTTGTACCGATTCTATTCCGTTAAATATTGTGAATTGATGTGGATCCCAGATGGATGAGGCGTATTCCAGTTTGGGGCTGACGTAGCTTATATATAACAATCGTTTTAATTGTACAGGTGCAAACGAAAAATTTCTTTTCAAATATCCTAATCAGCGGTTAGCTTTTGATGTTATGTATTGTATATGGTGCTTCCAAGAGAGGTCGTTGGTAATATGAATGCCAAGATAACGGTAGGTGCTAACAGATTGAAGAGGGCAGGTATTTAGTGCAAAGGCAGAGCAGATTGTGTTACAACGAGAAATGCGCATCGATTTACATTGGTTAATGTTGAGTTCTATGCACCATGTGAGCCACCACTTATATATGTTATTCAAGTCGGATTGAAGGGTTGCTACGTCAGAGGCATCTGTAATTTTGCAATATATCACGCAGTCATCCGCGAATAAACAAATTTTTGAGGAAATGTTGTAAGGTATATCAATAATGTAGATTAAAAATAAAAAAGGACCGAGGACGGACGCTTGAGGAACAGCTGATTCGACAGGAGCCAAATTAGATGTGAAGTCATTGGCAACCACAAATTGAGAACGGGAAAAAAGAAAACTTTCTATCCATCCAAGTACTCCCGGATCAATGTTCAGTGCGGGTAGTTTGTGTAGAAGAAATACATGTTTAACCCTGTCAAATGCTTTGGGAAGTCCAAAATATACATTCTGTAAAAAAGCCGTTATCAAGATATAAAAAGGCGCTATAGATATAAAGCGTTATACAAAAGCGTTATAGATATAAGACAATAGCGGATGCAGTAACGAAGCACGAAACCATGTGATGTTAACTATACAAGCACTAGCCTTATTAACTTTCAGCTCACCCATGGCCGACAAATGAAGTAAACATTACGAATGAAGCAAAAAAATGGAATACTTGTCCCTCATAAACATCTCCAAATAGCTTTTCACCCATAAAAACTCGCTTGTAATGGTACAAATACGTGGAAGATATATCTATGAAAAATGTACATCGAACAATCTCAAGAATTTGGTAAAATCGAAGCCCGAATAGACTCGAACCAGGGCTTGAGCTGATGGGTTCGAGTCGGTTCGATTTTTCACTTTACGAAATCTTTAATATATCCTTAAGATCCCACCTGGTCAAGCCTGGGCTCCGCCTTAAGCCCGGGCACACCGTGAAAATACTTTACCCGGCCTGGACCAGCCCACGCTGTCTGTCAGTAGGGCAGAACTCGCGGAGTGCTCTAAACCAAACACTGCTATCCTGAAGTACCCGGGTCCTATGTAGAGGCACTCGAGAGAGTTTTCCATTAGGTGGGGGATCGGTGGTTTCACTTCAATGCCCCCCTCGCCCCTTTCTTCCCGCTTTTTTTTACTGAGGTCCACTTGATCAGAAAGAATTGCAAACAAGAGGTTCTATGGATAAGGGTGAAAGGTGCCTTTGCTTGTTTCGTTCACCTGCACGCCACATCTGGTGAGACCGGATTATGTGTCATGCCGTCAAAATTCATATAGCCAGATTTTGCAGAAATACAGCTCGGGCACCTGCAGCTGAGGGCTCAAAAAGAAAATACTGATAGGTAACGTTGTAACTATTTTCCAAAGCTTAGTTTCTTTTTTTGTGAATCTAGACAAGTCGCAAACAGATTTTTTTGTGACCATAGCTTGTTTCAATTACACAATTTCACTGATTTTAGAGGTTGGGACACTTGCTGCGCGTGTGAAAAAAAAACTCATCCTTTTTGTTATATGGATTCTCAGAAAGTTTTGAGCAGCCTCTTGGGGACGTATGCTAAAATAGGGAAAAAAACACAGCGTTTGTTAGTTTCTAAATTATGCAGGCAATTGTTTAACGTAGCTCATGGACGCAGGTACGCAAAAAGCAAGACAAAATTGTTTCACCACGTGAGCGATGAAAAATGCTTGCAACTATTTGTAAGCAAGGACATTTATTTCCCATTACAATAGTCGGGGTCGTATACAACGTACTTTGACGGCCCACACAGCAAACGAAATACAAAGAAGCAAAGGGGCTCAATCTTATTCTCTTGACCTTGTTTCACCCACAGTTCACATCCTGAAAATAAAGGAAAAATTGCGAACAAATTTTTAGATGTTGATGCATTGTTACAGCAAACACGTGAAAAAATCATCTTCCCATTCAACTTTTATGCTTATCTAGATGTTCTTACCATTTTTTCTATGTGGCACTCTCAGGATTTCACAGTTGTCGTACTCGGTGAATGCAACTGGGAACTCTACGATTTTCTTCCTGTCTGCAGACGTAATTAAAAACAATAGAACCATTTGTCAATCAGGCGTCCGGTGCCCATTGAGTGCCACGGTCACAAAGTTAGTGTTCTCTGCAGCGTTGCCACGCCTTCATTATTTACATCACTATTCTTTGTCTTTAGAAATTTAATGCACTCAAATATTAGGCCCCGCATTCAGAAGAAGGTCTTATGCTAAATTTTCCATAACAGAATATTTCAGCCTAGCACGCTGCGCGACATAATCCGTGCATGAAGCAAGTTATAGAGAAAACTTCACCGGTGGTTCCGGTACGGACTCATGTGAACTCTGAGGGCAATTTCTTGTTTTTGAAAGGCCAACTCTGTTTCAAGTTGTGACATTCCGTAATTATGGACCATGCCATAGTTTTTAATTTCTGTGAAGTAGTAAAATACCCATTACGGCATCATTCGTATTTAGGCATATATATTGAGATACCCGCTGTACGTCTGTAAGCTGTTAGGTCCCTTTGTTGGTTCCGCATGTGGCTGATGACCATGAAGAATTATATCTGAGCACTTTGATTTGATAGATTGATATGTGGGGTTTAACGTCCCAAAACCACCACATGATTATGAGAGACGCCGTAGTGGAGGGCTCCGGAAATTTAGACCACCTGGGGTTCTTTAACGTGCACCCAAATCTGAGCACACCGGCCTACAACATTTCCGCCTCCATCGGAAATGCAGCTGCCGCAGCCGGGATTTGCACCCGCAACCTCCGGGTCAGCAGCCGAGTACCTTAGCCACTAGACCACCACGGCGGGGCTGTCTGAGCACTTTGCAGTGGGTGGGAAGTCTTAAGCCACACGCTAGTTGTGCACCTATTACTTAACTCTTCTGACCCCGTATTACATATCTGAACGCATTGGTTTGCCCGACATGACGCCGGTGTAGGTTTTTTTTTCTTTTTTTGCAAATCAGTTCCAAGCACCAGCTTTCAGTACTTATCTGTATCTTCGTGAACGTAAACTCCAAACTATGCAAAAAGCAAAAGAATGTTCATATTTGTTTAATTGAGTGTTGTGATGCTTTTCGGATGACCTAAAGCGAGCAGTGAGAAAAGACTTTAAGTTCAGCCCTGGAACAAATGGGTACCTTGATGTGACAAACAACGAAACACTATTACCCGACTTTATTTTTATTCTTGGTCTGTATAGTATCTCGAGTACAAGACAGGTGGATACAAATGCTGAACCTCCACGATGAACAAAAACTTTTCAGGAGCAAGCGGTTCAAATACGAAAAATATATGAATGTTCTCACACCCTAGACTTGTTTCCGGTGTTTTACTTGTGTTTAAATAAGCCAGTTTATTCATTTTCAACTATAACTCCAAGTGGAATGGTTTCCTTTTTTGTAGGAAATAACGACAAAAAGTCTCAAGCACCTGCAAGGCTCAGTGGAAAAACACTCGACTGCGACGCAGAGGGCGCGAGTTCAAATACCATTAGATGCCGAGTAGTTACTTCTTGGTTTTATTTTTGTCACCTGTAGAGGTTCTGCCATCGACGTCAGCAGCACTGGCGACGCAGCTTAGTGCTGCAAAGGGCGCTTAAAAACTGAGATTTAAAATTAACGCAGGTGGCGCCAAGTCCTGCAAAGCTGTTCGACAGCGAAGCTTTGAGGTACATCTCGGCTTCTTTTAATAACTATCAGTACGGCACCCTTGGGTATTCACTGAGCGCGCGCCGGTTTCAGATTAAGATAGCTGTCCATATGCGACACGTGGCAAACCACGAACACTCAGCTATGATGTAAAGCGCACCTGCAAAAGAGAACTTTTGTGTATTGGTTCGCAGGAGAGCAACCGCATAGCTTACAATGCAAAGCGATGAGGCTTCAGTTTGATTGCGCACATTAAAATTGTGCTTAGGAAGTTGTTGGGTGAGTTGGTAATTACACAATATGGAGATTTAAGTATTACAAACGACTGGTAAATGTCAGGAACCGACGACAGACAGGCGCTGTCTGTGAACAGTTTTTTTTAATGCGTTCATCTTCTGTAGGACTAACATCAATAAGTTATGAAAAACTATGCTGTTTTACACTCGCATAAAGTATCTAGAAGTATAAGCAGCGTACTGGCAACTACAGCCTAGGCGAATGCTGTTAACCCCATTACAGTGCATCCAGCGAACATTCAGTGTCGCAACAAGAATTTAATGAGCAACCATGCGCCGACTTCTTTAAGTTGCGATGGGGCAATGGCGCACTAAGTTTTTTGGTTACTGTAACACTTCAAACTTGTACATTTAGGCGGCACTTATGAACTGCCACATTTCCAACCAATATTTTTAATAAATATTTGTGTGAAAAAGAAACGCCCGAAGATTCTGATATACGTTACGTTATTTGATGGCAAGATACTTGCATCGATGTGTATAAGCTGAACAGAAGCACATGGGCCCTGTTTAGCATGCTCAGTTACGTCACTTTATATCAAACAAACTTTTTCCAATTCTCGGACGCAATGAAACTATGCCCTATCACTTAAGTTACGAACCCATCAAAACTTGGTGTTGTAAATGTATTTCTTCGAATGTACCAGTGTCACTGTGGAAGCGCGTTTCTACGAAGTCAGTTGTGCGAAAGCACCAGCAGAATGTTACCGAATGGCGACTGCGTACCTTGCAATAACAGCACTTTAAACACACGACAATTGGATCATTCTTAAAAGAACTCGTCTTGCCGTACAATCTATTTTTCACTAACGCTTGCTTTCCCTCTTGATGTAGGTGCATCTCAATACTTAATGAGCATAACTTAAACATTTCATAAAGTTTTCAGCGCGCAAGTCATACGACCTTCTCATTCGTTATGCACCCCTGTTTTCAACCCTGTGCTGAAAATTCGCTTCTTGACCTAGCAACAATACATGTGTCCCCACCTTAGTAACAAGAACGGAGTTTCACTCTTCTGCAACTTACCAAGCGTGAGTGATGACTGGATCACGTTTGGAACAGGGTAGCCTTTCGATGCTCGTACCCAGGCATAAGCCGTTTGGTTGCTCCTGGTTAAAAAAAAAATGCATTTTTTATGTGTTTCAAAGATAACATATTTTTCTAATTTTCTAAAGAGATAGTTCATGCCCTAGAATTGCACGTTTGACTTATGATCGCTATAAGCGAGAAATACTAGCTTCGTGAGACACCCGTACCTGAATCAAACATGGCGGGTACGTTTACTAACTGCGTTATTATACTCGCGGGACGTTTTCAATATTGTCACGGAGTTGTGACGTGGCCGAAGACAGGAGACTTTATGTTGGGATTTAGCTGTTTATTTGGGCGAACCTGTGCCCGGTAAACGGAAAGTTCGATTACAGTAGCAGTCTTGCACAGATAGCAGTGAACGGAGCGTCGGCCGTCGATCAACTACTGACAAGCGCCGAAGCGCATCGGCATTTATACTCTTGCCGTCGAATGTTCTAGCGTTGTCGCTGGCAGTGGCGTAGGCTGCAGAATAATCTGTACCATTCGCAGAGTGGCCGTGATGTTATCGAAATGATCTACTACAGTCCGGAAGCTTCTCGAAAACTGCCGGCGCGGTTCGCGCAGAGAATTGTGCAGTGTTTTGGGACGATAAGAAAACATTGAAAATGGAACGCGTGGCATTGCCCCCTCTGAAAAATGCATCGTCCCGATGCTTTAACTAAAGATGAACCTACAACAATAATGCAAGAAAGTACAATGAATAATATACGATACAATATATTAAAAAACACTGTTTCAGTTTGTTAACGCACATGAAACGGCTTGAGGCGTGCGACATGGACAACTTCAGATCGCGATCGGCGTCGTTGAGAGTTCGTGATGCCGTCGGGGACAACCTCGTAATCAAGTGGGCCGAGACGTTGAACCACCCTGTACGGTCCGAAGTACCATCGCAGAAGCTTTTCACTTAGTCCACGTCGGCGTATCGGCGTCCACACCCAAACACGTTCACCGGGCTGGTATACCACGAAGCGTCGTCGAGATTGTAACAGCGGCTGTCGGTCGTCTGTTGATTCTTGATACGGAGACGCGCGAGTTGTCGGGCTTCTTCGGCGCGTTGAAGGTACTCACTCACATCGAGGTTTTCTTCGTCATGACGTTGGGTAACATGGCATCGAGCGTCGTTGCCGGGCTCCTTCCGTAGACCAATTTGTATGGAGATATCTTCGTCGTCTCCTGCACCGCCGTGTTGTCTGCGAAGGTCACGTACGGAAGAATGGCGTCCCACGTCTTGTGTTCGACATCGACGTACATTGCCAGCATGTCGGCGATCGTCTTCTTAAGCCGCTCGGTGAGGCTGTTGGTCTGTGGGTGGTACGCTGTCGTCCAGCCGTGGTTTGTCTGGCTGTATGCCAAGATCGCTTGAGTTAAGCCGGCAGTAAATGTCGTTCTTCTGTCGGTGATAAGGACCTCCGGGGCGCCGTGACGTAGGACGATATTTTCGACGAAGAACTTAGCTACCTTGGATGCACTGCCTTTGGGAAGGGCTTTTGTCTCGGCGTAGCGGGTGAGGTAGTCGGTAGCTACCACGATCCACTTGTTTCCAAAAGCCAACGTCGGGAACGGCCCGAGTAAGTCCATACCAATCTGCTGGAAAGGTCTGCAAGGTGGTTCAATCGGCTGAAGAAGTCCCGCTGACCTTGTCGGCGGTGCCTTGCGTCGCTTACAGTCCCTGCATGCCCTCACATAACGAGTGACGTCGGTGGCAAGACATGGCCAGTAGTACCTTTCTTGTATCCTCGCAAGCGTGCGAAAAACGCCGAGGTGCCCTGCCGTCAGATCATCGTGCAGGGCCTGCAGGAGTCCTGGTCGCAGAGCTGATGGCACCACAAGAAGGTACTTAACTCGAAGCGGTGAAAAGTTTTTCTTTTGTAGAAGACCGTTTCGCAGGAAGAACGACACAAGTGCGGCCTTGAATACCTTCGGTACTTCGGCGGTCCTGCCTTCGAGGTATTCTATTAGGGCCTTAAGTTCCGGGTCGGCCCGCTGTCGTTCAGCGAAGTCATCGGTAGTTATCGTTGCCAAGAAGTAGTCGTCATCCGGGTCGTCGGGCGGTGGTTGGTCGACAGGCGCACGAGAGAGACAGTCGGCCTCGGAGTGTTTCTTGCCGGACTTGTAAATGACAGTAATATCATATATTTGAAGTCTCAGGCTCCATCATGTGGAGCGACCTGAAGGGTCCTTCAAGGTGGCTAGCCAACACAAGGCACGGTGGTCGCTCACAACTTTGAAGGGTCTGCCGTAGAGGTAGGGGCGAAATTTCGACGTAGCCCAGATGATGGCGAGGCACTCCTTTTCTGTTGTGGAATAATCGGCTTCTGCTTTGGATAGCGATCGGCTGGCGTAACTAATAACCCTTTCAAGTCCGTCAGCCCTCTGCACAAGAACGGCGCCAAGACCTACGCTGCTTGCGTCAGTGTGTATTTCTGTCTCGGCGAATTCGTCGAAATGGGAAAGTAACGGAGGCGTCTGGAGGCGATGTTTAAGCTCCTGGAAAGCGTGTTCCTGCGGCGTTTCCCACTTGAACTCCACATTGGCCTTGTTAAGGTTAGTAAGAGGATCGGCGATGCGGGCGAAGTTTTTCACAAACCGCCTATAATAGGTGCACAGGCTCAGGAATCGGCACACCACCTTCTTGTCAGTGGGTGGCGGGAAGTCAGCGATGGCGCCTGTTTTCCGTGCGTCGGGACAAACTCCAGACTTGCTAATAACGTGCCCCTAGAAACAAGAGCTCCTCGTACGCAAATGTGCACTTTTTTCGCTTCAGTGTGAGTCCGGACGCCTTGATGGCTGGAAGTACAACTTCAAGGCGCCGAAAATGCTCGTCGAAACTCGAAGAAAACACGACGACGTCGTCCAAGTACAAAAGGCAAGTCTGCCACTTCAATATTGCCAGTACTGTATCTATAACGCGTTGAAAAGTTGCAGGCGCTGAGCAAAGACCGAAGGGCATCACCTTAAACTCGAAGAGGCAGTCCGGTGTTATAAACGCCGTCTTCTCTTGGTCTCTTTCGTCGACTTCGATTTGCCAATAGCCAGTCTTGGGGTTCATTGACGAAAAGTACTTGGCGTTATGGAGCCCATCAAGTGCGTCGTCTATGCGTGGGAGAGGACACACGTTCTTTCTTGGGATTTTGTTCAGGCGGCGATAATCGACGCAGAAACGTAGGGTTCCATCCTTTTTCTTCACTAACACTACGGGAGATGCCCATGGACTCTTGGACGGCTGGATAATGTCAACCCGCAGCACTTCATCAACTTGTCTCTTCATGGCGTCACGTTTTCGCGTCGAAACCCTAAACAGACTCTTACGGAGTGGTCTGGCATTTTCTTCGGTTATGATGCGATGTTCCGTAATTGGGGTCTGCCGAATTTTTGATGACGACAAAAAGCAATCTTCGTATTGCAGTAGCAGGGCCTTGAGCTGTTCTTGCTTATAGTTCAGAAGTCTGGGATTAACATCTAAAGCTATGGGAGGGGCTTGGTTTCTCTGAGAAGGTTCCGCAGAATCGGCAAGGGCGAAAGCACTGGTGGCTTTGACAATTTCTTTGGTGTATGCGACCGTTGTTCCTTTGTTCACATGTTTGTACTCATTGCTTAAATTTGTGAGCATAACCGTTGCTTTGCCTCTCCGCAGCTCTGCAATTCCTCTTGCGACGCAAATATTTCGGGTGACCAACACATGCCGACTGCTTTGACAACGCCTTCTAAGTCAGGTGATTTCGGAGCGCCGACTCAAATATAGACGCTTGAGCGAGGCGGAATGGTGACTTGTTCTTCCAGCACATTCAAGGCATGGTTTCCTGACAGCGTGCGCGGTGGTAGTGTTTCTTCTGTGGATAACGCTATCGTCTTTGTTTTCAGGTTGATGACAGCACCATGGAGGCATAAGAAGTCCATGCCTAGGAGGACATCTCTCGAGCAACGCTGTAGGACTACGGAGTCTGTAGGATAAATACGGCCGGTAATGGTGACTCTTGCTGTGCAGATTCCTGCAGGCGTTACGAGATGACCTCCGGCTGTGCGGATTTCAGGGCCTTCCCAAGCTGTCTTAACTTTTTTTTACTTCGCGGCGAACGACCCACTTATGACGGAGTAGTCGGCTCCAGTATCCACGAGAGCGGTCACACTGCGGCCGTCGATAAGAAGGTCGAGGTCGCTAGTTCGCCGTCTCGCATTACAGTTAGAGCGTGGCGTCGGGTCACGGCTGCGTCGGCTTGTTCCGCTGCTTCCATGTTGCGTCGTCAGGTCACCTTCGGTAAGTGCGGTTTCGCCGTCAGGGCTTTGCCTGGTTGACGTTGTGTTCGGAAAGCTCCGTCACAGCGTCGTCGTCGTCGGAGGATCCTCGGTAGTTCGTCACACAGCGACCGCACCTCCTTCGGTTAATGCCCTTCGTTTCCCGGATACGGGCTAAGAGACCGGCCCCGCGTTGGGCCATAGTACTGCCGGTGGTGTGGTGACGTGTGGTGGCTGGGCGACGGCGAACGCGAAGGACTTCGTGGTGTCCACTGAGTTCCTGTCAGGTAGTCGGCGATGCCACGTGGTCGTTCTCCTGGCTGTGGACGCGGTGTATTGACGGCGAAGTCACGCAGTCCCATCTGTCGGTACTGGCAATGACGGTATGTGTGTCCGGTCTCGCCGCAGTGGTAGCAGAGCGGGTGGTGGTCAAAGGTGCGGCAGGCGTCAGTCTTCCTCGGTGCATTGCGCTGGGCCACTGGCGAACGGTATGACGTTGGTGGGGGTGGTGGCGGTGGTGGCGTCTGTCGACGGAAGTGCGATGGGGCGGCGTTTTGGCGTGGACGGGAAGGAGCGTTGTGGCACACTGCGGCGGCGTAGCTCATAGCTTCCGGCTCGGGCAGCGGTGCTTGGGGAATTCGAAGCGATTGCCGAACTTCTTCTCGCACAATGTCGGCGATCAAATCCACTTGAGGCTGCGCCGAAGGCAACAGCTTGCGCAGCTCTTCCCGCACGATCGCTCGCATCGTATCACGCAGGTCTTCGGAGTTACTGGCTTGAG